TCCAAATGTGGACATTAAAAAGAGGGGAGACCTCCACCCCCCAGACTCCCCCAGTCAGCGTTGGGGGCGGGGGAATTTTGGGAGTTGAAGTCCAAACACCTTTAACGTTGTCAAGTTTGAGAAACACTGGTCTACGGTAAAATAATTTTATTTTTACAAATGGCTTTCAGCAGATGGCAGCACCTAGCTGACCTTGGTGGATCCAGAACACTAAGGGGATTAGCCTTAGTTAGTGTTGGGAAATCTAGGGCTGTAAAACAAACACGTCTCAGAAGGCAGCTAATGGCAAGCTGCTTCTCTCTCATGCCAAGAGAATTATGTACATACATCCATACATATATGTCCACAAAATCACCAAAACTTGAGCTTGATTAAAAGGAGATGTGTGTGTGTGTGCATGCATGCGTGCACCTTTGTGTGCAGCTTCATGCAGTGATGCAAAAGACAGGCAGTGAGTAAAATAGGAAAGATTGTCCAGGATTATTTATAGAGTCAATTTGCCTACTTTCAAGAAGTTTAATAATAAGCAACACTCTTAACCATTCTCCCCTGTGTTGATTTTACTTCTTCCTTGTAGGAAATGGCTCACCAAAGACCACCATGGCACATCAATAGCTCAGATGTTGAGCACTGTCTTTGTGTGACAAAGGCCCCATGACCAGTTATTGGTATCACGAGGTACAGCTAATAATAATGCTATCTGACGTCATGGAGAATGGTTGCCAATCAATGTGGAAAATACCTAGTAAATAAATGAAGAGTCTGACTGTGGCTTTTGTAACACTATCCCTGATTCCACATGAGATCTTAGTGGTAAATTCTAAAATTGGAGCCAAATTGATGAGAAAATATTTTAATGAGATATAGCCTCAAAGACAGAGCAGTCCAAAGGAAGGGGAAAAAAAGTTATGCATATTGCAGTAGCATGGAACAGGTCTCAGAAGATAGACATTCATTTTCACATTCTACAATATAATCACAATCAATTCAGTCCCTTCTTGTTTTAAGCTGTTCTTTCTCACCCATAAACCTCCAAAGCCAACTATGTAGTGATTTGCTAGTTCTAACTGCTGATGTCTTTAGAGTGGTAAGGCAGCTTCATTTTGAAAAGCCAAGTCTAACTCTAATTTGATTGTTTCTGTATAGAGTTCTTCCATTCTTTGAGCTAACGCATCATGCAATAACCCAAAACGTTTTTGTATACCATGTCCTCTTCACAGTGACTGGCATTATGACAGCTTGAAAAGAGATACGAATGATCACTGTGTGAAAATGGCGAAAAAACTGAAGGAGCAGAAAGCATGCAGAGTGGCAGTGAAGAAATATCTGATTCCCAAATAACAGACTCTTTTGAGACACTTGGCTGGGCAAAGTAATGTACTGTGTGAATTTTCCCTCTTGTCACAATGAGGTTACAATTGTATTTATCTATCTTTTAGGGAGTATTTAAAAGATTAAGGGCTAATTCGTACACGCACAAGTGTTGCTTAACTCAAAATGATACTGACTTTATTTACAACCATGATGTTTCAGCAATATAAGCTGGTATGTTAAATCTCTTTATCCTATTTAATCTGTGGCAGCTTACTATTTGATGCACATCCATGCACAAACTAGTCCTAAAATTTGTTAAATTGATCATAAAGTAAGTTATCATTACTAATCTGTAATGTAATGTAACGCTAGTCTGCAAATAGCAACAATCCCCTCTCTTCACCGCTGGCTTTCTCTGGGCGCTCAGCTGTATAGTTTTGTTTAGGAAAATTCAAGTGCTGAAATCATTGGAATTAAGCAGTTCTGTATACTTTCCAGCACCAAACAAATTTTAAGAAATTCAATATCTGACTTATCTTTCTTCCAGTTAGGATATCAGTACAAAGCATGTGGCACTAGGAGCTAACCAGGTTTGCAAAAGATCCATCAGTTTATGTTTGGATTAGTTTGGAATGGATTATAATGACACAAAGATGAAGATTTTCACAGCTGTCAAGCAGAGGACTAATTAAAATGTTACACTCTACTTTATGAGTGATCGGAATGGTTTTCTGAACACACTTGGGATTTACTGTCTGATTCATTGATGATACTGTGAAAGCTGGGGCTAATTGTGGAGCATGGATAACCTGGATAGTGGTTATTTTTGCTCCAAGTTCTCCCACCACCCACAGTCCAATAATAATCTTAAACAGGAGCTATGGATAATAATACAGTAAGGATGACAACCACGACAGTGATGGAGAATACACAGGAAAAATTAGACCCCATACAGTCTAGAGTTCAGTTGGAAATAAACTCTATAGGAGTGAGGACAGTGAAGACAGCTGATTTCTGTATCAACATTACTTCTATAGAATACACACACAATACTTTCCTGTTGGTGGTCCAAATCAAATGGCATAGACACTTCAGCACCTCATGACTCAATGACCACAATGGGGTATTAGAATATAGATAGTTAAGAATTTACTGTAGTCTCCTCTTCATTTAACTCTCCCTGCTCTTTTCTAAGAGAGTGTTCATCTGAGGTCACTTCCTTCTGTCTTCCTTCCCAGACATACATATATGGAGCATATGATCTTTTAACTCTTTTCCTGGTAGGATATAGTTAGCTAGGTCCTAGGCTTTTCTAATCCCTATAAGTATTCCCTGTAACTAAATCCTCTTTTGGTTATAGTGAAAACCTGCTTCACTAAGTATTCTTAGATTAGATTTCTGCTCTCAAGAATACTCACATGCATATACAGAATAGCTCAAGCTCCAAAATTTCTGTAATGTGTAAATCAAAATACTAGAGAGAAGTAACCCAAACAATTGGGTTTTCTTGACTGCTTCAATCCAATTACTTCATTCCTTGCAGGTAAAATAACTCAGAATTGCCTGGGACTCCAGTACAAAGACAAATCAGGTAGATGCACTTCATTCAGTCATCTTGGATTTGTTGGGACAGGAGAAGATGCTCCTGCCAGAAATCTTGGTGCTGCAACACTAAGGGTGGCGGCGGCATGGCAATAATTTCCAGGAAATCCTTGAGGTGACAAGATGCCTTGTTCAATTGGTAACTGGGTATGGGTATGGGTATGGTAAATGGGTAACTTGTTCAACTGGCAACTGCTCATGGGCTGTCCAACTATCTTACAACCTTGAGTTGCTCTCTGAACTGTGGTTGAGTGTTCTAATTGTCCTAGAAGATTTCAACCTTCATGAGTTGGAGCTTGACTTGGGAGTGGCTCTGCATTCATGGCCACTACTAGTAAGGACTAGACAGACCCATACAGGTGGTCATATGCTCAATCTAGTTTTCACCTTGAAATACTGTAGTTGGTTCATAATCTGTACATGGAAGACAGTTCTGATAGTCCCTTGTTATAAACAGATCACTTTCTTCTCAACCTGAAGTTCATTGTAACTGACCTCTGCAATAAAGGAGGACCCATTAGGATGGTCCAACATTGGGCTCTTATGGATCTTATCAATTTCCAGTTGGTGCTTAGGGAGTTTCCCAACAATCAGGCAAGCTGTTCTGCCACCTCTGACATCAAGCTCTGGATTATATAGTTCATTATGGCATTGGATAAAATTGCTCCTAATTGGACTCTGCCTTTGCACAGATCCAGGGAGATGAAGCAGCAAAAGAGATGCTTTATTATATCTGCAAATACCATTCAGCAGCCTTATTTAAGCTTGACAAGTCTCTTTTGGGGAATGATGGTTGAGAAGATCTCATTCAAGGCCACTGTGATTTATTTCTAAGTCACTTTGAGGAAAAAATGTATTTGGGACTTGAATTCATCATGGACAGAATGAGATGACTATGGCACCATCTTGTGATACCATCTGGGATTCTTCAGAGCCTGTGGAGTTGGAGGAAGACAGCCATTCCTGGCCTGTTCAGTCATCTTTAAGGGAGATGTAGTATGTTCCCATCTGAAGAAGCCCTCCCTTGATCCAGAGGTAGTGAATAATTTACACAGTCTCCATCCTCCCTTTTTTGGCATACGTTTTTGAGAAAATGGTTGGGGTTTGTCTACAGAAGTTCTTGCAAGAAATAGATTGTCTAGATACCTTCCAGTCAAGTTTCAGATGTGGGCATGGGATAGAAACAAAATTGGTCACTCCTGTGGATTATCCCTCAGCAGTGTTCAGTAACTTAGATCCATAGTATCCTTCTGGACAGCCTGCACTGGCTGAGGATTGAAGGCAACATATGAGAGAGGTTGTATCCCTTTCTGAAAGAATGGGACCAATTGGTGCTAGTGAGAGATGAGTGATTGAGCCTTTGGTCACTCCAGTGTGGGATGTCCCAGAGGTCAGACTTCTCTTCCATTTTATTTAACAATCTATACAAAATGACTGGGATAGATCATCCATCAATTTGGGCTGAGGTATCATCAATACTAATAATACCAAATTGTTCATGTTTCCAGACAAAGTAGGAGATGCCTTGAAGATCCTCCCGTGGTGTTTGGAGGCCATTAGGATTTGTAGGTAATA